TCGGGCGCCGCCGGCCGATTCAAAAATACGCGTTTTTTATTTTGGCTGCCTGTAACGGCGGGTTCAGAGACAGCGCGGTGATTGGAACGGTCAGAATGCGCAGGGCGCAGAGGCAGCAGCGACCAAGCAGGCACGACGCTGAAACGGTGAGAGGCGAGCCAGAAAAAGGAAAAGAGGAGGCGCGCGCGACGGCCAGAAACGCGCAAGCAAGCAGGTACAAACCAGAGACGGCGGGAAAGAAACAGCCAGAGACGTCCAGCCAAGCAGGTAGGAACCGCAGACCGCCGGAAACGAGCCGGACAGGGCAGAACAGGTAGGCAACAGCCAGAACACCCCACCAAGCAGGTACAAACAAGAGACGGCAAGAAACGATCCAAACAGGACAACGCAGGCAAGGTACAGCCAGAGACGCCCAGCCAAGCAGGTAGGAACCGCAGACGGCCGGAAACGAGCCAGACAGGACAAAGCAGGCAGGCAACAGCCAGAGACACCCGACCCAGCAGGTACAAACCAGAGACGGCAAGAAACGAGCCAGACAGGACAACGCAGGCAAGGTACAGCCAGAGACGCCCAGCCAAGCAGGTAGGAACCACAGACGGCCGAAAGCGAGCCGGACAGGACAGCGCAGGCAAGCGACAGCCAGAAACGCGCAAGCCAGCAGGCACGAAGCCCAGACGGCGGGAAACAAGCCAAAAAAAGAAGGAAGAAGCAGAAAGGTAACGACCAGAAAGGCGCAAGCAAGCAGGCACCAACGGAGGACAGCCGGGAAAGAATTGAAAAAAAATGCGTTTTGAAGGCGTTTCACGTTCAGAACCCAAAAGGGATCGAGTTCAGCTCGTTGCGAAAGCGAGGAAAAGTCAGATCCAAAAAGAGCAATTTTTTTCATTTTTGCGCTTGACACCCTGAACCTTCAGTAGCAGGCAGGTTTCGCGTTTTCGGGCGCCGCCGGCCGAGTCAAAAATACGCGTTTTTTATTTTGGCTGCCTGTAAGGGCGCGCGGTGATTGCAACGATCAGAAATGCGCAGAGCCAGCCGCAACCAAGCAGGCACGACGCTGAAACGGCGAGAGGCGAGCCAGAAAAAAGAAAAAAGGAGGCGCGCGCGACGGCCAGAAACGCGCAAGCAAGCAGGCACAAACCAGAGACGGCGGGAAACGAGCCAGACAGGACAACGCAGGCAAGTAACAGTCAGAGACGCCCAGCCAAGGTATAGGAACCACTTCGCCAAAGGGTCCAAAAGAGAACCATTCTGGGTCAGTCTAGATCAAGAGGAGCACCGAGAATTCTTCACCAAGAAAAGGTGAGCCACGACTTTGTTGTATTCTACACTCACATCAAACATGGTGTGGTACGGAGCCCTCGCACGACCGGTGCATCTTCCAATTGGTTTGCAGTATGCATGGGCGCTTCGAATAGATCGGTTCCAGCTGGCAGCACTTGGTGAAGGAACGTAGCTTGTGCTTGACATGTCACAAACAGTTGTCAGACCAACAGTTATTGAAGATAATTACAGCTATCGAACATGCTCCGAGCCTTGAAAGCAACAGAGCAAGAGGAGCCAGGTTTCTAAGGGCCGTAAGCCGAGACATTCACTTTGAGCCGACAAAATCCAAAAAAAAGAACATGATGCATATATCATATAACAGACACACAACAGCTTCACAACACCATCTCTCCATGGCCGCTGCGTGGCAGCACGTGCAGATGAGCTGTACCTACTTTCAGTGCTTTGATCCGAACACGGCATTCTGCAGAGCATGGCAGAGCCAAGAACAATTACTTGTCATGGCTGCCGTGATGCCCCTGTTTCCATGAACTCTTTTCAGCGCCTTTTCACTGCAGGAGATATCGTAGGCGCTGTGGGACACTGCTGTCTCTTAGGACCAGGTAAAACTCAACCCGTTGCCCGCTCACGTCGCCAACCACCACTTCTACTACCTTGTCGTGGTTCTGGGCAGCTTCCATCGCCTCATCGTGCAATTAATTGGCAACATGCGCAGCAAATTCTCCTGTGTCATGTCTCGTTTAGTGGGTCTTGATTCTGACATGATCTCCGAAATTCTTCCCGGCCGTGGCGTTGAAGTGCTTGCGAATCGCTGCTTCAATGCCCAGGGATCCTGTCGACGACAGAGACGTGTCCAAAGAGACCGGGGCTCAGGAAGGCCAATTGCACGAATGTTAGATTTTAGCGTAGAGAGCTTTCTGTGATTTTGATTACACATGTGTGTTCCCATATCTCCACCTGCCTCGAAACACGCTGTATGTGTTTCCGCTGAGCAAGTTGGTGGCGTAAATCAGCTTCTTGCAGTACCTTTGCATGCGAGGCGAAAAATATTCAATTGACTTCGGTTGGTTCAGAAAAAGCAGCCAAGGTCCTTACGCCCAGCGGATGCATAGCAGGAAAGCGAAGAGTCGGAGCTTCAGTCCTAGCCTGAGGGGCGCGGGTCGACCGAAGAGGCCGCGGAGCTGCAAAGCGGATATATCTCAGGCTCGGACGCAGCGATGGTCATGAGCCTTGCATGATCGGACACTGATCAATGGATTATTCAAGCATGTTTGCGCGTGTGCTTGCGTGCTATTCTCCCGAATAGATCGGTTCCAGCTGGCAGCACTTGGTGAAGGAACGTAGCTTGTGCTTGACATGTCACAAACAGTTGTCAGACCAACAGTTATTGGAGATAATTACAGCTATCGAACATGCTCCGAGCCTTGAAAGCAACAGAGCAAGAGGAGCCAGGTTTCTAAGGGCCGTAAGCTGAGACATTCACTTTGAGCCGACAAAATCCAAAAAAAGAACATGATGCATATATCAAATAACAGACACACAACAGCTTCACAACACCATCTCTCCATGGCCGCTGCGTGGCAGCACGTGCAGATGAGCTGTACCTACTTTCAGTGCTTTGATCCGAACATGGCATTCTGCAGAGCATGGCATAGCCAAGAACACTTACTTGTCATGGCTGCCGTGTTGCCCGTGTTTCCATGAACTTTTCAGCGCCTTTTTACTGCAGGAGATATCGTAGGCGCTGTGGGACACTGCTGTCTCTTAGGACCAGGTAAAACTCAACCCGTTGCCCGCTCACGTCGCCAACCACCACTTCTACTACCTTGTCGTGGTTCTGGGCAGCTTCCATCGCCTCATCGTGCAATTGGCAGTCATACAAACATGCAGCGGAAATGCTTGTCATCACAGATTTTATAATCAGCTTCATCAAAGATTTCCAAAATCATGTTTTCTATGTTTTTATTGTAAGAATAGTTCATTTCCTTTTCTTGTTGCTTGTTCAGTATTTTGGAAAAATGCCAATGAGATCGAATGAGTCCAGTCCTCGTCGGGGGCACCTTTTTCAACAAACGTTTATCGCCAAGGTTATCGCTAATTTAGATTAATTTAGAACACCTTGATGATCAAGACAGGAAAAGAAAGAAGAACATGGAACGAAAAGGAAAATTGAAAATAAAGGGAAAAGGAAGGAAGGAACAAGAAAAGAAAGCGAAGGAAGAGAAAGGAGAAATTAAGCAGAAAGGACTTAAAAAGAATTCAGAATTGGATCTAAATCAATTTTGATTCATTTTAGAATTCAATTGCATTTAGATTCAAAAGAACAATAAAGGGAAAAAGGAAGGAAAGAAAAAGAAAAGGAACCAAAGGAAGAAGAAAGTCGAATTGAATAAGAGCAAATAAGCGGATTTCGGAATTATATCTGAAAATGGTGTTTGATTTAATTCAGAAAGCAATTGCGTTTAGTTTAGTTTAGTTTAATTCTACTGCTTGGGGACCTGGGAGAGAGAAAAAAAGCAACATGCCTGCAGAAAGCAACGATTCAATCACCTTGGACAACAAATGACAGCAAGAAACACGGACACTGCAGGTTGAATGTTCTCCATCCATTAAGCCCATTACGTGAATGTATACAAACTATTTGCTTGGCCTGCACCAAGTTTAATGCGCTCTCATCTATTGTTACAAGTTATCGTAGATGGAGGGGCCCTATCGCTTTACAAGGTTTGGTGCACTTTCCCAGCAGGACTGCTAACTAAAGTCACCCTAGGTTAATTCATCTTATTCTGACCGTATCTCATATGTAACATATGTAACAAAAACTCCAGAATATCGTTTCAGAGTGCATCAGAATAAATGATCAGCTTGCAACTGCAGAGCCGAATTAAGTCTTGTTTCACAATGTCGGCAACTAAGTTGCAGCCATGTTTTGGTTTTGAAAGGCGATCCAATTCCAATTGAAGTTCAAGGCTGGAATGCTGTTGGAATGCTGTTGGAATGGTGCAATCCAATACCTCCCGTTGATCCTGGTGAAGGTCGGGCCACTCAAGCTTGCTTTTTGAAACCGAGGCCAAGTCCGATTGCAGCTACAAGTATATAGAGTGTATGTATAGTATATATACATATATATACCTTATACATGTAAAGATGTAAAGATGATAATCCATGATAATCCTATAGTGCCACTTTTTTTGAGGATTAGTTGCGGAGCACCGGATCTGTCTTTTTGGATCTCTATTGAGGCTACGGGTTCTCTGAACACGGCAAGGTGCAAAAGGCCTCGAAGTACTTCTGGTGTCTCCCAAATGTCTGTGAGCATCGTCTCCCTGCCAACGTCCGGAGCCTGCAGGGGTGCTTGCATTGAAACCATAGCAGCGGAAGCCTGGCCCTGTGCCAATCTTCCCATTTGATTCCTCGTCTTGAGCCAAAAGTGACAGCGAAAGGAACGGATGACCCAGGGACCCAACATAGGCTGGGAATGGCTTGACCTCAGGGCATTGTCTCTTCCCAGAACCTGCACACCAGGACAACGGTATCATCCAGTATCATACCATCGAATCATAGTAGACATGTCATGACTAGACCCCCAACAGATTGAACATTTGTACATGGCATCAAGATTCATCAAGCATTTTGCAACCCCCAACATCTTGTGGCTCGGGTTGCAATTCCCGGGACACCCAGGCGACCCAGGTCGATCGGTCAAGCTAAGCTTCCAGGAAGAGATGCGCTGGATGCGTTTTGCAGCAACTCTTCTAGCTGTCGGTATCCCTGGCAGGGAAAGTTTCGGATGAGTCGCATCCTTTAACTCAAGTAGGACCACTGATCATAGGCCATGGATATGTCAGGTATGTGCCTACATGTTTCCATGGGAGGGTTTTGGATAGATTTGGATGCTCCCGGCCTCCACCACTCGAGCCTCTTCCCGGGCAACCCATTGCCTGGGCATAACATCTGCTGACCTGTGCAGCCTGTAACATCACCATAGATACTCGATGATACTCGACAATCTAACTTCCATGCCAATCTAACTTCCATATATCTCCATAGTATTCCATAATATTCCATAGGCTTGTGGGTCTCCATCATCAGTTTCGAGTGTTTGAGCATGTTTAAGCCCTAAATATCAGTGCGTTGTACGTGGTCCAAGCAAGACACGCGATGAGGTCGGTCTGGCTTGCCTGTGAAGGGAGCTTTCAGACAAGTTTCGCAGGTTGCGCACAAACTGCACAAAATACCATGGCAACACATGGCAGCACATAAATGCATCATGATTGCAATGTCAGAGTGCATAGAGTGCAACATGTGCAACATGTGCAACATTTGCAGCCAGATTGGAACATCTTGCGATCAGCGCTATCAATTGACACATGGAGCTCTAAGGCACGGCTTGCCGTGGGAACGCCTGATGTTCCTGCAAGATCTGAGAGACATCTTGCACTAAATGTGCTGGCACCTCCGGCAGCCACCAAACAAGAGTCATCTGTGATCTGTGAGGAAAACATGTTTCAATATTTCGAGATTTTTGCACAAACACATACAAAAAACTGTTTCAATTTGATGTAAAAAATGATTTAAGTGCTTCATTGCTCAGTGATTCCTTGGAAAGCGTTTGCAAAATACTCCGCAACATCAAAGTTGCCAAAATGTGCAGTACCTCGCCTTAAGTACAGCAAATCAATGTACATTTACAATCATTTGCACACAAAAATGCACAACATGGCCCTGGCCATCCTGGCCCTAGTCTTCTCAGTGTGTCACTGGGCACCTCCTCATGTGCAGCATCAGGGGCTGCACCAGGCAGCGCCGTGTCAATGCTATGGACCTGTGTATTGTCCGGTGACTCTATGAAAGCACATGAAAGCATGTGAAAGCAGCGTTTCAGCCATCTAAAGCCTCTAAACTTGGAAACTGATCATCAGCTTTAGATTTGAGAACCAATTTATGCTTTGCGACGGTGGCATATTCCAACATCCTACACCTTTGAGGCAACCGAAGACCATCTGCACCCTGCAGTCCAGGTGCTTCATCGGTCTCCAGCCAGGCTCGTGGCCGGCCTTAGGGCTCGCTGTTTCGACCGTTCCTCCTATGTTTTCACCGTCTGAGATTCAGGGATTTCATGAAATTTCATGAAATTTCTAAGGGGAATTTCATCCCATTGGGGTTTCCCTTCACGGCGTTCACACATCAACTTATTCCTGCCAACCCGAACCCTCGTTCATGCACTTGTGATGCTCTCAGTTTCTGTCGCTGTCACGAAATAGACAGAGACGATGGACATGATGGACAATATTGTTGTCAAACACTTCTCAAGCCACTCAACATTGAGATTGACATAGATTGATTACATGGAAACTCAAAAAAACAACCAAAAAATACTGTCGCTGCATCCCCGGGATCAGATGATATTCCGTGAAATTCTGAGACGAGCAGCTGGGCCGCACAGGTGTCGCCCATGCCATGGTTGAGTCATGCTAGAAAGTTTGGAGCAAAAATGGCAAAGGCGTACAAACAGCGAAACATATCCCAAAGACTCGGGACAAACCAAGAACTCAAGGGTCACTTTTTGTCAGCTAGAAGTGGCAACCAGGTTTGAATGAGACCTACGTCTGAACAAAGGCCGAAGAGAGGTTGATGGCTTTAGTTGGACGAGAGCCCAAAGTCAGTGTGCCCACATAGGCCACCATCAGCGACACATGTTCAAATTCTGCAACGATCCCTGCCATGATGGAACCACAGGCCTCGAAACGCCCGGCAATGTCCTCCTCAATCCGTGTCCCGGCAGGGACGCGCAAGCGGTGCCAAAGTTCTAACCTTTTGAGGATTCAAAGTAGCACTATCAACGCAGGAACTGTTCTAAGCTGAACACCTTCGGTGTCGACCACGCCTGGCACAAATATACTCTGACTTAGCTTCCACTGGCTGATTAGCTGCATTGAAACCTAGAAACCCACAGATGCCCAAATGAATAAAGGCACCGCATGCACTCCATCAATGACAAAGTTTGATGACAAGTGTGGAACATCTTGCGCCATCGCGCGAGGCCTTGTCATCATCTAAGCTCTTTATCCTCAAGTTGCCAACGTGCTCAGTCCATCCCGCAACTCTGAAATCACATTCCAATTTATGTTGATCCATAATGTGTGCGCGCACACACACATATATATTTATATAAATACTACTGTTGATATATGATATATCTAATATACATATATATATATACATATATATATACATATATATATATACATATATATATATACATAGATAGATATATATATATACATATATATACATATATATATACACATAGTCTGCGTATATACACACCTCTGAGCACATATATATATATACATAGATATATATATAATATATATATATATCGACTAGATATGTACATTTATCATGAATCTCAGGGTGACCCCCTCTCTCTATCGCACTGCTTTTTTTTCCTGAGAGCGATGTGCTGTACAAATCCAATGGCGGGTGGCCTAAGATTCTGGCCATCGCCCTGTGAAATCCGACCAACTGTACAAGGCCCGTTGCCGCACGGCATGCTCCTGAAACAAAACAGCACATGAAATGCAAGCATTGCGACAAAACAAACAGGCTAAGAAGCTAAACAAGTAAAACATAACATGCATTTGCATGCAATCCACATATTTAACATGGTATCTTTCTCTTCAAAGCGATGCGTCTATATGCGGCCTCGCCACCAAGCTGCTGCACAAGACGAGTAGCAAAGCCGCTAGCCGCAAGATAATGTTAGACGTTGTTCGATGCCAAGGAATCAATCTGGCCTCGGCGGAGTCAAATGTTCTCAAGGGAGCCTCGTCCACGCGATCAGTGACCTATATATGTTCCATTCCATGGGGGCAGATCTAGAATCCCGTAAATATATCCAGTATTCCAATTGTTCATGATATTATATCACTACTATTCACCTCCCATGTTTTAGATCACTATCCCATATATCCCACTATAGTAGCATCCCATTGCTGATTTGAGGCACAGAAAAATGGCGTTCACGTTGTCCGCCACTCGCAGCAAATAGAGCGATGCGATGCTGCCGAAGGGACCCCAGCGCAGCGCGAAGGCTTCCATCTGAGCCCGGCTGGGCATCCATGAGACCTGCAAGCACATTTCATCACACATATCAACGTAGTTTCCTAACGTTAGTACACAATGAATATATATATATACATATATATATATACATATATATATATACATATATATATATATACATATATATATACATATATATATATACATATATATATATATACATATGATAATCTTTTCTCCCCATTTGCCACATGCTATATGCTTTACAGTATTTTTGCATACACATGTCTATACATATGATCAACTACTCTTGGTTATATTTTGTTATATTCAAAATAAACTCGATGCATGTTTCTCAACTGAAAGCACTGCACGCATTGCAAATATTGAGAGCTGAAGTGAAAAAATGTGCACAGGGAAATGAATATAATTATATAACTTGTTAAGCTCTGGTAAGTCTCTCTTTGACACATTCGTAGATCGGGACCAGTTTAGTGATTGAGCCCATCCTCGTTCTTGGCTGTGACATCTGCAGGTGGCACAATGTTGTAGATCAGTTTCATGGCACTCTGGATGGCCACATCGCCGAAGGGGATTCCTGGCCGCCACAAGGGCCACATCTGAAAAAAAAGATGCCAAGAAAGTGCTGAAAAAATGTGAAACACATCGCATCCACTTATTATGTCCATTGATGTTCAATACAATTTGCATTCAAACTACCCTCTGGTAATTTAACATAGCTATTGAAAATGACCATTCATAGTGAATTTTCCCATTAAAAATTGTGATTTTCAATAGCTATGTTAAATTACCAGAGGGTAGGCCCTCTAGGCCCTGTACGGCCTTCAAAGGCCTAGAGGGCACTATCACTAAGCATGTCCAAGGCATCACTGGTCGCCTCCATGGCGATGCAGTTGGAAAATCAGGAACATCTCCTGACCGGTTTTTAGCGATGACCATCGATGACCGGTAACGAGAAAACCTCTATGAACCCCCTGGGATTGGCATCTCCAAGGATTTCTATTTTCCTACTGGGAATAGTGAAGGAACTGCATGTTCACACTGATTCCATGTCATTGCTTGTTCTTCCATCATGTTTCCTTTGTGAAATATTGATCACGTTCTGACTCTTGAGTCTGCTTGTCAACTTGTCATGTTTGTTTTGCTTCAACTTTGCTTCAATTGGCTCTCCAGCGTCCACTCTCCAATGCCCGGAAGCTGTGTCATGCGCTCGCGCAGTTCTTGATCAGATGCCTTGGCTCGAATGAAACAACATTAGACAGAAGACCTGAGGACACCTTGTCTCAAACAAAGTGCCAATACCAACATAGTGATCTCATCAAATCGTGTGCGAACAAAGGATCCCCATTGGAAGACTCTCACAATGCATCACTGCAAGTCATGCCTCGCCTCTTCAAAAACTTCGGTGTTGAGCGTGCCATCCAGGAATCTTGCCGCGATCTTCTGAATGTACTGGATCCTCATTCCAAGTGTTGAGGAATCGTGTCAATTGATGAGGTGTGCGGTGCTGCCAACACTATTCTGGAAATCTTAAATCTGTGACAAAGAGTGTGGCATCATGTGACTAAACCGACAAAACATTGAAGTCTGGCGGCTTCCTGTATGAAAGTTTCGCCACTTCTCGAATCCTAAGTCAAGACATGCTCGCGCAGGTCCATGGTAGCTGTAACCATAGTGAAGTACAACAATCCGTGGAGGCCCCCATGGCGTGCTAAAATCTTGGAATGTTAATCAATGTTGAGGGATGTTGAACAAAATACTGCTTTTATGGCGAATTGATACATATTGAGACGTATTGATTTTAAAAATGTTGATAAAAAAAGTGCACATTGATGCATCTTGAGACAAACATCACACAATGTGAACCATATTTATACAATTTTATACATAGTAAACCACATTGATACATAGAGACTCATAGTTATACATGCCAGTAGTACCGCACAAGGCGGTGGCGGACGTTTCAAAGTTTCAAAGATAGGAAAACACAGGAGAGGTGAGTTGTTGTGATGCATGCATGGCAGAGCGAATTCACTGATGGACCGAAAGGTGGTTGGACTTGTGCTTTTTGGGGTCTACCTTTTCGCGCAATTTTCACGTCCTTGTTAGCTATAGGATTTATTTGGGACTGGTTTGAGGTTGATTTAGGACCACGCCTTGTGCAAAAGGTTGCGCTTCTTTCCAGGTGTTGCACTTCGTGTGACAATCGCTGTGATCAGTTGTTCCGCCGCCTGATCAACAAATACATATTGATTGATACCTATTATACTATTGGTGCATATTGGCACATATACTACACATTGATACATCTCTCTACATGTAGATACATCTCTCTACATATTAATTGAATATTGATACATATTGAAGAAAAATGCGACCACTCAGCAAATTCGATTGAATGCTCACATGAGTTCAAACAACAGAATCCCATGTTGTCTTCTGGTGCTTTCTAAGGTCCCTTGTCCTGGCAATGTGCACCCGAGAAACTTGTCAGGCGATTCTGCTACCACTCTTTGTGGATGAAGAATTTTGTTGTCCTAGGTGCCAAGGCGGTGCTGTCAGCGGATGTTTGTTCTGCACTGTGAAAATTTTGAAAACATGCGAAAATGGACGGAACCATCCCAAATCGTGAGGAAAAAATGGAAAAGAGTGCCGTGAGGTACTGCCCAAATGGATGTGATCTCATGATTATCAATGATACTTATAGTTTCGATAATCTACCATCTATGAATAATAATTGGTGCATATACATATATATATATATGTATATTATATAATGTCAACCCTGGATTAATAAACCCCTAGATTGTTTAATTGGGAGGGTACCATTTAAGTATCATATTATGACTATTGGAAGGGTACCCCCCTAATTAATGAACCAGGGTTTATTCTATTTTATTCTGATATTAATAGTTTAACTTCTGGACCTGATGGCGGAGACCTGTCCAAAGTCCTCCTTGAAACTATCTCCAAGAGTCTCGGTCACCACACAGGCCAAGCAAGCGCTGAAACATCCCTTGGCAAACCTTCACGCTGAGCTGCTGGTGACATACCTTGCATTCTGCGAGTCTCAGGTCGAATGCTGTTTGGATCTGCATCCCTGGTAAATTTCTCTGCACCATATGCGGTCATAGCATACAGCCCTGTTTTTGCGGATCTTTCTGGCAGCCATCCACTTGCATATGATAAAGCCACACCATACCCATCAATATCTAAACCAGTTTTGCCCCTCAGCAACCCAAATGCTATGGCCAAACCTGCAGCCACAGGAAGGCGTGGCCATTGGCCGAGTGGCGGTCTGCACCAAGGTTGTAAAAGGGTCCGGCCTTCGAGCTGGCTGGTGTAGAGATTGCCATGTCTATCGTTTCGAAGCTCTTTGGAATGCATATCTATATCTATCTATGTATCTATCTATATATATATATATACATGTGTGTGTGTGCGCGTGTATTTAAATGACATGTATATATATACACATACAATTGTAGATTATTATATGATTTATGGACATATGTGCTTATCATTGCTTATTGCCATAGATTATCATTGTCAGTTCAAAAGGCTTGCCTCATCTGACGTGTGTTTGTCCAATGTCATGGTCGCCCGATGTCCCTCTTTCCTGCCTTCCCTTGCCTAGCAGCTCTAGGATGGCAGTTGGTGGACCAATCAGCTGCACAACGTGCCTGGTCAGTATTGAAGTGACAGCAACTGCAACGATGCAAATCATCTGCCCCCAAGATATTCTAGCATGTAATGCATATGTATTCAAGTTATAAAATAAATGTTGTATATGTTATCTACGTTACATATAATATGATAAAATAAAGACACACACACATATATATATATAATTTTTATGTACGTATAGCACTTGTTGATTCCGGAAATTGGTCCCACCTGAACCGGTCGTCATTCTCAATGAGGTATCCCACCTCAAAAGTGCCATCTCAAAATGGGCTTAGATGCGGCAACAGTGCAGGGTGCTGGCTACTGTGTGACAGCCAGGAACGCGTGAAAAATCGTGAAAAGATATGCTAAGAAGGCAACCCCCAGCTGCACACTTTGCCGTGTCATCACTTTGGGAAGATCTGGGAATGAGGGCATCTCCAAATTGATGGCGACCGGAGTAGAACCTCAACCATGGCAAGATATGGCAAGTATGAGATTGGGAAAACCTGATGAATCAGTGTCTTATGGCCTTTCCCCCTGCATGACTTGACTTCTGCTTGTCGCTGTCCCATCCAGGGCCCATCCAGGGCATCCTGCAGTTGGACAGCCAAGTTGCTTTGAATCTGTTGAAACACATGGTTCTTGGTTGGAGACTCCACTTTTCGCTGCTTTGAAGCTGCCTCTGCCCTTGGATGCCATCTAAAATCACTTCACTGTAGCTGTTTGTCTACCTCGTTGTCCTCAAGAAACAGCACCGGTCACTGGTAAAATCGAGCTTTGAAAGGGCAAGTGCAAGATTTCTTGCAACTAAGAACACCGAGGCGCTCTGAAATCCCCCAGCTCCGCTTTTGAAACTGAAAAGAGTGCGGCCACATCTCTGCTTGTTTGTGAGTGGCCTGGCTAGGCGCGATTTTGAACCTTCTCGTTTTCCAATTTTTTACGCGGTAAAGCAGCGGCTGAAAACATCTCTCGATGGGGACATTCTTGTTTCCAAGATTCTGGATGTTCCAAACAACATTCAAAGGTCCCTGAAACTTGACCGAGCAGCTTGTTCATTGCTGACGTTTTCGGGAGCTGCGGCATTCCGATTCTTGATCTCCAGCTCCAACAGCTCCTGGTACTTCCCACTCACGTCCTTGCCGTTCGGATCAGCTGCATCAAACCTACGACTAGGTCGCCGGATTTCCCTTGCCACTGCTCTCAGGTTAACTAAATACAGTCATAAATAAATATATAAAAATATCAAATATAAATTTAAATACAGGTAAAAATAAACAAACATCAATACCTCAACTTTCCCCACCTCTGAGTCAGTCGCCATCACAATAAGTCGCGCCACTGGCTTGATGTGAAGACTCCAGAAAGCTGCATGTTTTTGGAGGTGGGCCACTTCCTTGTGAACGAGCCAGCTGTATACATCAGCAATACATCAGCACAATTCTGAGTTGAAGAATCCCTCCAAAACACTTGAACATCTGCTGGATGCAAAACCCACACAAATCCACAGCGAACGTAGCCAAGGGTCCGCTTCCTCATGAGTGCGTTTCCTTAGCCAACGAACTGAACAAAGAGTTGGAGATGCTGAGGCGACAAGGCTCGAAAGGTAAGATCTTGGCCAAGTTTCATGTATAGGATCGCACGACAAAGCTTGTGAGATGTTTGCCCAGGCCTGTCCAAGCGACCCATCATCTGGACGAGCTGATCCATCTGCACGGGTCCTGAA